GGTAGCTTTGTTATACTTTATAAATTTCAACGACAAAGTATCTAGTGCATAAACTTCACTATAGCTCTACCTCCACTGTAGACTAAACTCTTCATCAATGAAAACTTTCTTCTCCAATTTAATGCATTTATTTTTTGAGCTAAACTTTGTTTCTGATCTGAAGCATCTGCTTTTCTTTTTCTGCATTTTGCTGGAATAGAAGACAGTTTAGTTTTGTTTCATTTTAACCTGATCTAAGTAAGACGTTTATTTTTATTTATTATTTTAGTAGCTCAGTCTACCTCACTTATAATTTTATTGTAACTGCATGAATCTTGGTCATATTTTATGTTTTATTTTTAGCACTTTAAAAAATTTGGCTTATTTACTATCTTCTGCTTAAATTTTCTATGTTTTCTTTTGTAGTGCTCAGAATGGAACCTAGGGCATGGCACATGCTAGGCAAGTACTCTACCAGTAAGCTATACTCCCTGACCTTTTAAAAAGTTTTGTTTTGAAAAAGGGTCTGCTAAGTTGCCCAGGCTAGCCTCAAACATGCCATCCTCCTGCCTCAAGTTCCTGACTGGTTGGAATTACAGGCATGTACCTCCACCTCTGACAATTTCTGTGTTTTCTTTAAATTTTTTCTCTCTGATAATATAAATGTGTACTTTTAAATTCTATTAGTGAAACTTCTGACCTATTTATTTCTACTAACTTATTAATAAGAAATTAAAACTTTTGTAAGTGCAAAAACTTTATAATCCCGTCTATCTTGTTCTTAATCCTTGGCATTTGTTTAGATACACTAAAGACTTTACATCTCTTTTTGGATTGCACCATTATAATTTAGTTATTAAAGCATATAGTTTTGCTTTGGAAATTTGAATTTAAGAAAGACTTTCTTGTGATGATTTCACTCTGGAAATAATTTTTTAAAATATTTATAATTATCTATTATGTGCTACCTTTTATGTACAAAAGAAGGTATACATGTATCAGCTCAATTGTGCAGAAATGTTCCATTTTATTTAATATGGTTTGCTGCATTTTAGAAGTGTATCGACTTCTATTCCAAGCAATACAGCAGATTAGATAATTCGGCATTCTTGAATTTTTTTAAAAGGCTATTTAGAGGCTGGATAAAGAATACCTTGCAAATCTTTTGTAATGCATCTCTGGGCTGAGAATGCAAGGAATCTAGAAAAATCTTAAAAGAACCCTGTAAGGTAAGGAAATCTCAAAGCTGGCTCTTTGTTGAGAGCACCAACCAAAGCCTAGATATACTGATTCTACCCAGAAGAAACTCACAAGGTGAATGGGAGACGAGAGTTCAACTTGCAGGCTATTTCCTTATCACAGGCTGAAGGATGAATATACTTGCCTCTGCAAAAAGATGCAAGAAAGCAATATTATCTTGAAATTGGAACTAGAGGGAAAATAAAAATCTCCTCTGTGAAATTATAATTGTGCCCAAGACTTAAACCCATACTTTGTAATCTGAGAAAAAAAAATCTCAACCAGATACTTCAGCTTAAAATAGTTCTGAATTGGTAGCACCTCAGATGACCAGCAGAAACAAATGAATGTCTCTCCCTAGGAAAGGAGCAGGAATTGAACTTCAAAACAAGCCTGGAGATTATATTTTAAAGGCCCACAGAAAAATATGATTCACAGTAAAACAAAGAATAAATGAAAAAGCATGAAACCCATGAGCAAATAAGTTACCATTTGTGAGAGGTGGATGAAACAAAAATTTAAAAAAAAAATTTATTCAGAAACAGTATATAAGAGTTATACACATTTCATGAAATAAAATTTCAAGAAATAGAAGACAACTTTGAAAATATATCTAGGAAATAAAAGACACTATGATGAAGGACTAAAACTCATTGAAACAAATAGCAACTTTACTGTAGTCCATTTTCAGAGAAATATCTTTGAAAAACGTGGGTGAAATAAAGACATATTCAGACAAAAACAAATGGAGAAAGTTTCTCATCAGCACATTCTCCCTGAGGAAAATTCTATAAGATGCACTTCAGGTGGAAGAGGGATGGCCCTCAAGGAAAGACCAAGATGCAAAAATAAGTGAAAAGAAAACAAGTGGCAATTATTTAAAGACATCTAAGAAACACCTGTGTGTATGTGAGACTTAAGACAGTGTTTCTTTCCTAGAAAGAAATCTTGACAGAAATCTTGGATAAAGGAAAAAAGAAGAGCCTTCTACCTCTGTGGAATGCATAAGAAGAAAGATGAAGAGAGAAAAGCACAGTATTATGCCCCCCAAATTACCCTTGCAGGTAAGTCTCTGTCTTCATGAAGTTTATATTCCAGCAATACAGCCAGATAAATCATTGAAAAGCATAACTCCAGACTGAGCTAAGATCCATGAGAAATACAGTGGGATCTGAATTAGAAATGTCAGAGGAAACTACAATACTGCCAAGCAGCCTGCTGTTTCCAAGGACAATATGTTGAGCCAGTTAGATTCAGACCCTATGATGGGGAAAGAGGGGATGAGGAAGGAACTAGTAACCTCAAAAGAGTCATCAGACACCCTTCAGCAGCCCCAAGAGTTTGGAGTAAGGAGCTCCCTATTTGCATCTGAAAGGATATGATACCCACCTTTAAAATACAAAAGTGAAAAATAAGTAAAAGTGAAAGATTTGGCATACACAGAACTACAGTTTTGAAATTTCAGACAGTAAAGCTTTCTCAAAATCAGATGTGAATAAGCTACTCCACTGGAGTCAATTTGTAAAGAAGTCTGCCAATAAGAACATGGGTTTTGGAATCTAAATCCAGCTTGTCCAAGTCACTGTTTTGGGGAATGTTCCACTCTTCAGCTGCGCTGGTCCTGTGAGTCTCTGCAGAGCAACCCTCCTGCCTTCTTTGGCCCAAAACATAAGAGGCCAGAGTGCCCTGGCAGTGTCCTTGTTGAAGCTTGTCTCTTCTGTTCACGTGAACAGCTACTATGACTGCTGACTCGAAGACCCAAGTTTCAACACAGAGAACATCTGCTGAGCTCCACCTAGACCCAGGTCCACCCTGGACTGAAGATCCAGCTCTGCAGGCTGCCTGGATGGAGGTGGTCACAGAAGGCATGATAACACTGAGCTACATACACATCAGTCAGTCATAAAAATAATGGAAAATTGCACAGTTGTGTAGGAGGAAGATCTCACTGACATGTGGAATCTAAAAAGTTGAACTCAGAAGTTGAGAGTAGAATGGTAGTTACCATTGCTGGGGGAAGTAACAGGTGAAGGACGGATGAGAAAAGGCTGATATATGGATATGAAGTTATAGTTAGATAACAGTAAGTAATTCTGGTTGAAACTGCCCAGTAGAATGGCTAAAGATGACAACTAAATATTGTATATCTCAAAAGCTAGAAGGATTTAAAATATTTTCACTATAAAGAAGTAATAAGTATTTAAGTAGATATGTTTAAATATTACTCAATGTATACACGTATTGAAACATCACATGGTACTTCATTAGCACCTATAATTTTATGTATTAGTTAAAATAAATTTAATATGAAGTAAAAAAATAAAACCCCTAATACTTTAGAAATTTTTTTATTTATTGAGTTTATTGGTACATTTTAGATATATATTATAATCACATTCATCATTGGGAATTTGTACCTGTACATGATACACCTTGGTTCTTATTTTTTTCCCATTCCCCTGCCCCTTCCTTCAACCGCTCCAGCCCTCCTTATATAATTGAAGAAGGAAAAATAGAATTTCTTTAAATCAACAGGAAAAATGTAATATTTGGTTATTTTAGTGGCTTAGCCATTTAAAAATACTATCGGTGTCTAAAATATAGCTAAAAGTCTTTGGAAGTGGAAGTGGTAGTAAAATTCAAAGTACTTTACTAAACTTTCCTGTCTGGCTACTTCAATGAAGCATCTCGGAGTAGAGCCAGGGAAATACAAACATGAGTGACCAAAGGTCATGGCCCTAAAGCAGCCTCTAATTTTGTGGGGGTAACAAATGTAAGTAAGCTAACATAATACTAAGGAAAAGAGTGGCTGCGGAAATAAAGAGGATCCGTTATGAGTTAATTAAATCAGCCAATATTTTTCTGGAACTACTTTTATACTTTGTATCATTGTATTATTAAATAGAATTCAAAATAACACTCTTTTTTCTCTGTTTCTATTGACATGCTATATAATGTCAATAGCTCATAATTTGCTTACTCAAGAATATAGGTGTCATATTGCAAAAACATCTCAATTCTCAGGTAGCATTGCTCAACATATAAGAAATACAGATGTCTGTCAAATAAATTTATAAATGAATTTTAAGCTAGAAATAAAAGTATTAACTAAGATCTTGCTACAATATTATGTACATGTTTTTAATGTCATTACAAAAATCAAATATCAGTGACTGAACATGTTGAAATACTCTTGAAAATCCCCATGAATGTTGCATTTGGAAGTAGACTATGTCCCTGTTAAAGTCCCCCAGAAATGCAAAACAACAACAGCTGAGACTCTGCATGGGCTTCAATGACCAAAGACACAGATGCAATGGCACAGGGATCCAGACACAGTAACTCTGTCCTAGTACTTGTATAGAGCTGACCTTCAGAGCCTTATAGCACAGATAGTGCTAAACACTTATTCTTATTTTATTCTAACACAGATCATGCATGCAATGGGCACAAGCTCTCCTCTATGGTATCCCAGGCCAGAGTATTGAAATAATTTTTGTAAAAGACACAAATTCCAGAAATGCCATTCATGATGCAGGACACTATGAACCAAAACATAAATAAACAAATAAGTAAATAAATAAATATGCACTAAGATTTTATGTCTAAAAGTTGCCATGCTATTCTTGACTGGTATTAATTACACATAAAAACAAAATACAAATAAGTTTAGAGTGCTAATAACTATAGTACATATATCTTTTATTTGTAATATAATAGCTTTTTAAAGAGCTTATAGTGTTTTTTATCTAGAGCACCAAAATCTAAATATAGATACTTACATTATTGCACTCTCCAAGGAAGTACAGTGCAAATCCATCAGCTTTCGTGGCTGCCAAAGTAATAAAAAAGAAACTAATTTCAATGAAAGAACATAACATGAACCAATTCTCAAAGGTGAGTGTCAAAGAGTCTTTAGAATGAATTTGTTAAAGTAGCCAGTGGTTGGTTATACAGTAAACAGAGCAAAATAAGACATGGCTTTATTCAACAACATTATTAGAATAACTTCATACATTTTTCATTAGTGATTGAAAATTTTATGATGTGACATTCTCAAATGCGTATCACAGGCAACATACTATGTAATAATATATTTGTCAAATTTTGAATATGTAGAACTATTGCAGAATATATTTAGAATTCACAAATTGTCTTTAAATTTTAAAGTGTTAAGAATATCAGAACTGGTATTCATAATATTGAATCACTGAAATACAAATCAACCAAAAGTGATGATCTGAACTTCTACATATCCATGGAAGTAAACATAATTCCCTAAAATTCTTTCAGGGTCACATAAGGCAATACCACAGCAATGAATAGGATAAGTTTTAGAGAGATTGCTTAAATTTTACTTAACTCTTTTTCCCCTAGGAGTTTTTGGGTAAGATTTAGCTTCTCTGTTCTGCAGCTTCTCATCAGTAAAAGGTAATAATAATAGAAAGTATTTCATGAGATTATAATGAAAATAAGTTAATGCATATAATATCCATGGAAAAGTACCTGGCATATGATTAAGTACATGATAAATGTTATCACCATCACTATATCCACTGAATTTTCATAGTGAATATCTTAAAAAATATCTGTTCTAAAAATAGTGCATCTTTCTAAAAATTACTTTTCAGATATATATTCCTCATTCTTTTCACAGTATGTCATTTCTTATGTATTAAAATTGTCATCTAGCCAATAAATTCAAAATGCTTACCTTTTCCTTAAAAAATAATGATTTTATTTATCAAGATGTGAATTAATTCAATAAAACTATACTGCCCAAATAAAAGTAGTCTTAAAGGCATAGTACGTTCTATTTATACATTAGGGAAATATTTATTTGAGTTTAGTATTTTGGGACTTTTAGGTTTGACCCATTCTGGTACTTTCATAATAAAGGATTTACATTTCAAACCTGGTCTAGGAATAGAAGTAAATGAATGACTTTTATCCATGATTTAATAGTACATCAATTTTTTTGACAAATTTGGTAATGTGGGAAAAGAATCTTTGGTCCAGTTTTCCTAAAAGGATATAAAATGTTTCTTACCTACTTTAATGATGCTACTCAACTCATAGAGGAGCAAATGGTTGTCTCCTCCTGTATCCAATCGTTGTTCTATGTAGCTGTTTAGCTCATATACAACTCCTTGCATATTTGTATCTTGGTACTTTGAATAAAAATAGCAAAAATAAAGTCAAATAAAATATAATTA